TCACTTATTTTCAAAAGGTTTTTTTTTTTTTTAATGGAAGTTCTAGGGCCATCTACAACTTGGTATTTTTACCAATATCTATTCCCATTGCACTGTCAGGAATTTGATTTTAATTGCTAATTTTAGTATTTTGTAGTATATTTATTTTTCTTTTATTCATTCACCCAGCAAACATTTGCAGAGCACCTCTACTTCATCACATTGTTCTACATCCAATGCTTTGAACATAGTTAATAGCTTTATAAATATTAAACTAAAGACATAAAAATATACTAATCTCTAAATCTATTTAAGCTTAGAATACTTAAAGAGTAATCCAAAAACAAATCAAGAAAACTTTTCTCAGAAGAAAAAAAAAAAGCAGGATGTTATATTTCAGCGGATTTTTAAAAAGATGCCACTTAAGTCCTACTTTCTTTATCATATTAACATAGAGAACAAATCAAATTTGTAGAGAAGTGTAAATAGGTAAAAATAAATTTATCCTTTAAGTTCAGCTAATCAATCTTAGTAGGACTTTCAGTTTTCTTGAGCCTTAGTTTCCTCATCTACGAAAAGAGAGTTCACTCGTGAATTTATTAACAAACATATACTGAATGCCTACTATGTGCCAGGCACTGGTTTAGGCTTTGGGAATACAGTGGTAAACAAAACAGACACAATTCCTGTCTGTATGGTGCTAATAATATTCTCATGAAGATAATAATACTAATATGGGATTGCTCGGAAGATTAGCTATTAATGTAATTAAGCGTTCTGTGAGTTGCAAAGTGCTTTGTAAACCCAAGGCTCCTGAACGTGAGAACTGCTTTATTCTTCGTTCTATCTCCACAACTCGGTAGGTTTCAGTAAGTGGTGATCTGAGTAGATACAAGTGCATCAACACTATCACATTTGACCGCTAGAGGTCCTCCACAGTCATACCCAACATTAATCCATTCTATTTATTATATTCATTCATTCCAGTATAATTTACCAAAAGTAATTTAAGAAAGTTGGTCATATTAAATAAAATGTATTATATGAAACCCTAAGGGACTCACCACAAGAGGTTAATTATATTAACCTAGATATCACATCCCATGCAATAAGAATTGTGCTATACCTGGCTGAACACCAAAAATTAAGAAAATACTCTGTACTAATGTTTTATCACAGTAGTCTCGCAAAACAAACCACTTCACCACCATACATACTTCTTTTAAGATAAATCAATGTAGGGATGCCTGGGTGGCTCAGTCAGTTAAGCATCTGCCTTTGGCTCAGGTCATGATCCCTGGGTCCTGGGATGGAATTCCGAATCCGGCTCCCTGCTTGCTCGGCGAGGAGCCTGCTTCTCCCTCTGCTGCTCCTTCTGCTTGTGCTCTCTCTCTCTCTCTCTGACAAATAAATAAAATCTTTAAAAAAAAGATTAAATCAATGTCTACATCATTTTTAATGGCTATATTCTATTTTATGGTTATACCAATATTACTATGTGCCAAAGTTAACTTATCACTAAATTTTTGCATGTATTATTTCAAGATCAAGTCTTGTGTTTTCCTATAAGAACAAAACAGTAGGAAAACAGCTTAAATTTAATAAAATATTGTCTTTATATTTTCATATTTACTGGCAATTGTTTAATGTTTTCCTAATATTCCCCCAAATTTCATAAAGTCATGAATTTAAGTTCAGAACTTTAGACACAAATTTTCCCCACAAATATTTAGGAAAATATAATAAGAATTTGGCCTAGGTGGTGTTTTCCTGTTTTCTTTTTTGAAACATCACAGGAAATACATATTGAATACATACTGAACTGCTTTTTATAACTGCTCTGATCATGAATATACAAAAACATGAGTATTTCAAGACTTTTCTCACTCTGAGTGTGAAATCAAGACAGAATTACAGGAACTAGAAATTCCTACTGTCAGGAGACTTCCATGAACACAAGACTGGTGTAGGCTAACAGATACAGCAACTTAGGGAACAAATACTGCTATTTAATGGCAGAATCTTACAATCTCCTGGGAGCAGTGAAGTGAATTCCACAAGTATGAAAAGGGCAGTTTAAGTAGCAAAGTCAAAACTATTCTCAAATTATGAGTGCTTAATATATGCAATTTCTCACATGAACCGAGGGATCAGAATGCATTCACAACACACAAAAAAAGCACACTGAGAATTTGATGCATATGTTTAAGTTTTAATACTTGAGAAAATAGAAGTTAAAATTTGATACGTACACTGCTGCACAAGAAAAGAATATATACAAATTTGGATTCCAATGGAGTCAGTATGTGGACCTGGCTGTACAAATGTAACAAAACAACCTGCTATTGAAGGCTTTTAAAGTAATAGATTTTTAAATCAGGTAGAGTTTAATAGATTGCAGAAGGAACAGTAATTGTTTCTCAAAAAATTTCCCTTATCCATTAAGAACTGTAAACTCCATGTGGCGAGGAAAGTTAGAGATCACCTAATTGATCAAGATATTTTGAAGACGTAAGACATAAACGCCCGCTGTAAGCCCAAACAATCTAAAAATAACCAGCATTTTGTTTTCCTCTGAGGATCAGTTTGATATACCAGTCATGTTCACAAATTTTAGCAAAGAAAAATAAAAACTCATTCCATTCTTTTTTGAAAATACATGTTATTTTTTTCTACCAGGTGCTTTAGTAATTTAAGCTTAATTCATTTTGTTAAATATGAAACATGAAAAATCTTTTAAAACCTTGCACTCTTAGAAGAAATGAAAATGTCTTTCCAACTTCAACAATGTATTTTAAAAATTGTGAAAATGATTAGAAACACCAGCTCTTTAAGAGCATTTCAAAATATATTTGAAGAAAGTATCTTTCGGCTGTTGTTTATTTTTGAAAATCTTTATCTTGAAAGGGTAAGCTTCAAGGGTATCTTGAAAGGGATCATTCAACATCAATACAATTGGGGAAATTCCCTACTGATGAAGAATAGGGTCATTTACAAATTAACTTCCAATTTTCCAAAAAATTCTTGGAATTTGTGCCAGATGCCTTGGGATACTTTTATTCCTGATTACTCTCAGTATAAAAGTTACTGTTTAATACTGTAAAATCTACTTTATTTCATAGGTTGGTTGGAATATCATTGTTTTTTAAGTTCTAGAAGTTACCAATACCGAAGTACTGTCTGATTTTATGTGGGAATAAACTCCTTCTTGAAAGTTAAATTCTTCCCCTTTGAAAGATGCATTAAATATTTCTGATCACTGAAAATGTAAAGCTTCTAGCACTTCTTGAACACTGATTTCACTTTCCAAAAATGTAAATATTCTCTCAATGCCCAGAGCAACAGAACTAAACCAAATATTTAGAGACTCTTTTAAGAAGTATCCATTATTCCAAAAACTAGCCTGCATATATCTCTGATTTTAACTGTATTCCTCAGACAAAAGATCATTTCGTTTTATACAGAGTTTTCTTGCTTTATAATCTATCGAATGTTAGTAGTCAGCTTAAGATGCTTATCTTATAATTGCACATTTGTGTAAACCATTATTTTTCTTTAGAAAACACAGTGTAGCTTAAAATAGGGAAACACAAACCTCAATATTGAATATAATAACCTATGATAACTGATAATACTATAAAGTTATTAAACACACCCCTAAAACTTCTGAAAGTACATTAATAATTTTTTAAATAGCCACAATCCCTTAAAAAACAAATTATTTACAAATATCTTAGAGCAAAGGAACCTACGCAGTCATTACATGATGTGGATATGTTCCTTGGAGAATCTGCCTAGAGAGCAGAAAATGTTGCATATATCCTGTCCACTTGCCATTGAAAAACTGAAAGCAGCATGATTTTATTAAAGAAAATTAATGTAATTGGAAGGATCTAATTAAAACTGGCATTACGCTATCTAAAGAAAAATAACAATCACATGATAGAATTTTTATATAGCACCAACATAAGATTCTTTAATAACACCTTAATTTTAAGATTGTTAACACATAGTTCTGATGTTAAAACATCATTTTAATGTAAAAATTCATATCTGCACTCAGAGGAAACTATATTAAAAATATTTGTAATATGCAAAAAGTTACTAAATCAGTTTCCCCTTTCACATTGCACAACATCCATCTAAAATATAAGGTGTAGATTCTTATAAATAATATATAAAAAGTCTTGGGGTTTGTTTTTTTTTACTAAATTTCAGTTTATATTTCAATATCTTGTGTTTTTTTTACCAAAAATATTACAAATATTTTACCAAAAATATAATAAAATATTACCAATGTTAATATAAGCCAGTCAAAAAAATCAGTTCCTTCTGATTTGGAAAGCTTAAAAATTTTAAGTAACAGGATTCTACCAACCCTAGAGTAACGTCAAGCTAATCAGCAGCAGCCACTGGTACTTAGTATTGTTCAAGGTAATCCTGATCGAAAAATTAAATTAGGTGCCTTTTGTAAGACATGTGCCAAACCGTTGCTATTTTACCAAACTGCAATAACTAATATTAACAGCACCACGGTTGCTATTAGCCAGGATATAACCTCCATATTTAATACATATTCAAAAATACAGGAACTATAGTTGTAACTCTAGTAGTGTTATTTAATTCTACACTTCCCTTAGAGGGCAGACATTAACAAAGACGCTATGTATCAAAAATCATATCAACGTCTATTATTAATAAGAACCTTATGGCAAGTTTACAACTGTCTGCCTCAAAAGGGTACCTTCTGGAAAATTCAGAAATGTGAATTTTGATGCACCCTTTACCCCCATCCCCAACCTCCGACCCCCACCTTACTGTGCCTAATGTCTGAGCTATTCAGACAAACACAAACAGGAGAAACTTTCAAGATGGGATGCTAACACATTCACTCTCTTCCTTTCCTGTTTTCTTAAAATGATACATTTGTATTTATTTCCTAGGTTTCTTACTTCCAGTCATAACAAAATGATGCTAACACATTCACTCTCTTCCTTTCCTGTTTTCTTAAAATGATACATTTGTATTTATTTCCTAGGTTTCTTACTTCCAGTCATAACAAAATAATGGTCATCGTCTTCCTTTTTCTTTGCGGTAGGTTTTTTATCTCCACTAACTGCTTCCTTACCAGATGAGGGTGGTTTCCTGGTTGAAGCTGGGGCTTTGCCACTTTTTGGAGGCCCTTTAGCTGAATACTGGCTCTTAGTGGCAGTCTGTGCTGACTTTGGTACAGGTGGTGTCTTGACAGAGGACTGGGGAAGACTCATGAGGGACAGTGGAGTACGGCCAGGGGACTTCGAGGAGCTGGGTCCCATCTTCTGGGATGGACTTTTATTCTGGGGCTGCTTTTTGGCAACTGAACCCATATTCTTATCTTTTGATTCCTGTGCAACTTCTGTGTGTACAACTGAGGATACGGAGAGTGGCTGGTTCCCATTTAAGGCTGACTTAAGTTTCTGTGCTGGCATTGCCCCGGCTTGGGGGGCTCCATCACGGGGCTGCGATCGTGTTCCTAGACTTGTGGGTATAGTTTTAGAACTGGATTTTGTCATTTTTGCAGGGGAATGGAGAGAGGGGGAAGGTTTAGGCCTTACGTATATATTTGCCTTAGGTGGCTTTGGACGCTTTGATGATGAATTTGAATGTGCCGCGGAGTGAGACTCTGCATTATCCCTGGAAGGTACGGGAATGTGTTTCAAATGCTTTGGTTCAGTTTTTCCAGAAGACTTATTTGGCAAAAGTGCAGACTCAGGCACATGTCTGGGCTTCTGGGACGTAACAAGCTTGGCCTGAGGAGTATTGGGTGATGAGATACGTTTTCTCACTGACTGAGATTCACAAGGCGTGGTTCTTGATGAGGCGGGTGAAGAAGTGCTTTTACCTACTGCATTGTTTGAAGGAGCCTGTGGTTTCTTTGTGATGCCTTTTGAAGATTTGAGCTTAAGATGAGAAGACGCTGCTGGAGAATTTGGCAATTTGGAACGGACTGACACGGAGCCCAGATTCCCTCCTTTCAGGGAAGATGCAGGCAGCAACCCACCTGGTGGATGTACCTGCTTTTCTTTGCTTCTTGGAATACCAACTGGCGTGCCAGGTTTTGATTTTTGTTTCTGAAACATGCTAACAGCTGACAAAGGATTCATTTCAGGAGGCTGAGGTGTTCTGGCAGACAAGTCAGGTACGCTTTCATTGGAAACTCCTTTTTGAAAGGCTAGAATTTTTTGTTCTAGTGTAGCAAACTGTAATATTCGACAGGGATCATATTTAAGCAAAAATCCTTGAAGTGTATCCCAGCCTCCACCAACACGGACCATGACATGTTTTCCATGAAGCATCTTTTCCCCCAAAAGAAAGTAAAAAAAAAAAAAAAAAAGTAAGGTTCACAGTTACAATTCATTAGCAGTCATAATTTGTGATGTATATGACCTACGAAATTCAGAGTATTTGCCAGCAGCTTCACTATAAATTGATAGCCTATTTCTTATATTATTAAAATAATCAATTTAATTCATACTGAATCATGCAACTAAATACAGGTCCTCTAATTTGTAAGAAAAACTTTTGCACATAACTTGCATCCTAAAAATCCAAATTACAAATATACAAATTGCAAGGGCAATATTGTTCAATAAAGAGGAAGAAGAGAGGAAAGAGGGAGGGAGATGAAGAGAAGGAGAAATGAGGACTTACAGAAACTATGCCTCATAATAAAGAAAAAAAAATTATGGAAGGAAGATAAAAACAACTAAAACTTGTACTTTACAATAAATTACTTTCATAAATATTTTAGCAATTTAACCTTTCATAAACCTTGATATAATTTATGATTAATTCTTCTTTGCAGACAAGAAAATTATGGCTCTGCGAGGTTGAGGAAATTGTCTCAAATCACACAGCTTTGGCCTGGCCTCAAACATACCCGGCTGCCCTACCCAAATGGTGCTTTTGTGAAGACAAGATGCATCCTTGGGTGGGCCAGCACAGTCCCAGCTGATTTTCAGGCCCCTATTCATTCAGCAGGCAACTCTGCACCATTGTAGGAGATTGCCCTGCAAATTTTAACTCTAAATCCCATGCTCTGTGCACCATCATTGTAAGAGACTGCCTTAAAAAAAGAAAGTTAATTAAAAAATAGAAAGTCTGGGAAATGTTTCTGTGTGCGTTGGGCGGGGTGTGGGGAGGTAATGATAATATATGAAATTTAATAATATGGATGGTGAAATATTTTTAAATACTTCTATATTATATTCCTAAACTGGGAATAAAAGAGCTCTTGTATCAGAAGTGGACAGAATACCGAAAAGGTGAAACTTCAATCTCTTTACCAATAAACGGGACAGTTAATCAACTGTGGATCGCAGATGGGACAAAGGAAGGAAATGAATATGCACATAAGGATACTGGTAAATACACTGATGCTGTGTCAATGAAAAAAGATTTTATACTTAAGAGCCAATCTATACATTATTATAAACTGCAATGTTTCTACCTCCTTTTCTTATTACTGATATTTAATCTTATTACATGTATTGTTTCAGTTTTTTCTTATGATGGGAAATTATTCCTTTTTAGAAAATTTGAAAAGTGGAATAAATTAGCTGAGGTATACAAAGATTTTTTTCCCAACAATTATATTAAATATCTGAATAGTCTTAGCTATCCTTAGTAGTTTATTGTGTTAAAGGTGTCTACCCAAACTCATTATATACTCATGAAAGCAAGTATTCCATATTTTTCCTGTACAGTAAAATTATTTCATTAATAACACTCCCTATTCCAATTTTTTAAAAAGTAAAAGGGAAGCAAAAGGAATTTGGTAAAACAATAAATCCAATTTCAAAATAAGACCTGTATGTAAATAGGATGTAAATGGTGGACTTACTCTTATAAAGAGTATTTTATCCCCAAGTCGGTACCGTCCTTCAGATAAGTACTCAATAGAGAATCGATGGGAACAACTACAAGGAGGGTCCTCAGCAATATGTTTAACCTAAGATTAAAAATAAACAAAATTTAGTGCTTGTGACAAAAAATATTTAACATTAAAATGCAAGGTTATTTGATAGATGGGAAAATCAAATTCAAAGATAAAAATTTAAAGACACTTGAACCATTTATTATCTCTCCTTTACTTGTTTGACAAATATTGAGATTAGGATTTTTTTTTTAAGTAGTCTCTAGACCAAACATGGGGCTTGAACTCATGACCCTGAGGATCAAGAGTCACATGCTCCACAGACTGAGCCAGCCAGCTCCCTGAAAGATACTGAGATTAGACATTAACTAATCTAATAAAAGCTGACAGTGATAGTCTTTTTTTTTTTTTCTTCCTTTTTTAAAGTAGGCTCCACACCCAATGTAGGGCTCAAACTCAGAACCCTGAGATCAAGAGTTGCATGCTCTCCTGACTGAGCCAGCCAAGAGCCCCAGTGATGAAGTCTTGGGTGTCCCTCTCTCCCTCCCTTACCCCACCTCTCTCCCTCTCTCTGCCTAAGTGCAATCAGGGTCCTAATGCATTCACTGACCGCTGGAGGTCTGTGAATGTATACAACAGTGAAGTCAATTCAAAACACATTCATTAAGTCATAGGAAACACATGAGTTCATTATTAAGCTTGAATTGTTTTATGCCCTGGATTAATATATCTGTGTCAAGTCAAAGATAGGCCAGTTAGATAAAGCTTAAGTAGATGTTAACTTGTCCCTTAACACTATGCTTAACTAACATTTGGAGGGGGATATCAAGATTGTTCCAAAGTTACTGTTAAAATAACCAGAGGCGTATTTATATCTATTCACCCAAGATTGGGTGAAATTCTAAAGAATTCAATTCAAGAGGCATTTTTCTAAAAGTGCTCACTTTGTTTCAATAGTCTGCTAAGGAGATGAGAATTGGGGAGAAATCCCTACTTTTATCCCTCAAGGAGCTTACAGAATTTTTAACTGCAGTAAACATCTAAAAAATTATAAAAATGAAAATAAAAAGAAATTCAGGAATTCTATACTTAAAATATGGAAATTATAATAAACTGATTAAAAAATAAAAATATTTGTTGAGATGTTTGATTGAAAAAAAAGTTGCATATCAGAACCATGGAAAATATTTTGTTTTCCTAAAATGACATTTTTGAGAAAGCAAGGCCATGTAATATTTTTCTCAATTATTTGTCACACAGTATATATCTACACAAACTCATTTCATTGAACTTGGGTATGATGTTAAACCAAAGTCTCTTCACATATGCCCAATTTAGCTAAGCACTAAGAGAAATGCATGATTGTCTTCATTATCTACCCAAAATGAACAGCTAAAGGTGGATTCACCAGGGCATGATCAGAAGAGTCCAGAATTTATCTCTCTACATCATTCATTTAACAAAATAATATGATCATAAATAGAACTGATTTTCATAAGCCATTCAATTAAGTTTCTCTTGTTCATAGCCTGGTATATGTGTATGTGTACACACATTCATGCACACACACGGCACCTGCGTAAAATAGCTAAATATAAACCGAATGTGGGTAAAGAATTTACAATTATTAGAACCATTTACACATTAGTTAACCAAAGTAATCTGAAAGGAGGTATTTTTTCCGGTCACTACTTTCTATCCCAGAAGTTTCATAAGCATACAGAATTACAGCTAAATATAGCACTCTAAATAATGCATCAGATGATAATTGTTCCTTACTTTAAACACGACTCTAAAATCTCTGTAGATCATGTATGTATACGTGGACACTGAATGTATTCATGTAGCATATGCATATTTAAAGAAATGTGTTCTTTTTTAGTGTTCACAACAAGAATGTAAACATGAAAAGTCATTTGCTTTGTTTAAAATATCCAAATACCACTTACATTCAGCAGTAAAAATTAGCATTAACCCACAATCTAAACAAAGGAGTAGGCCTAAAAGAAATAAGAGCTATGGATAAACAGTGTTCTCTTATGGTTTTATCTACTGCATAATTAACATTAAAACAGTAAAGGAAATAGCTAAAGAAATTAAAATCATCTAAAAAGGCACTAACCTACTATCGATTATTTTCATTCTTTTTCTTATAGTTTGTCTATATATACATACTTTTCACAAAATATTTTTCTTATTGCTACATAGTCTTCATAATGATCACATATAATGATTATTCTGTTAAGATAATGAATCCTAATTCACCTAGCCATTGCTCTATTTGAGAGTATTTACATTGCTTCTAATTTTCATCATTATAAATAGCACAGTAAATACTTTCATTTGTTCTGTTTTTTAATCCCCCTTCAATTACAATAAAAATGAAAGAGGAACATTTTTGTGGTTCTTGATATCTATTTGTCAACTTGTTTTGCAAAAGTTTACATCATTTTCCATCACAAGTAGCAATCCCTAATTAGACTTTTACCAGAATTTATCAGCACCAGGTTTCATAATTTTAAAAAATTTTTACTAATGAGGCAAATTGTGTATCCTAATTCCTTGATTCTCAGCAAGATTCAACACTGTATTTTCCTCTTGTGTAAACAACAGTCCTTGCCCATTTACTTCTGGAAATGCTTTTCTTATCAAACTGTACATAGTCTTTCCTATTAAATAAAAAATATTTTATCAATGTTTTCTTCTTTATTTAATTATCATTATTTTAGGTTCTGTAAGATTTAAAATAAGTTTTATTTTTTAACCTACTGCATTATCACTGTGTCACACACTGACATTGACAGTCGTCATATAAATCAGTAATATAGGTAAAATATATTTTGGCCTGGTAAAGAATATTCAGGCTGACATTTTCTTTTTTTTTTATTTATTATGTTATGTTAATCACCATACATTACATCATTAGTTTTT